TCCCAATTAGAAATGGGTGGAAAAGGGGCATCCCATCTTGGGAGCAGGTTGGAAAGCCTGAGGATTTTTCCTGTTGTGCTTTGTGATTAAACTAAGGCTTTTGCATTTAAAAAAACCAACAGCCTGAATTAGCCAGGCACAATGCAAAGCATGATTCAAGCCTTGCTACTGTTGTTTTTTTTCACCTACTACAGTCTGGTGAGAACATCACCTTCCACCCCAGTTATGATCCACAGCACTAGTGTATAGGCTGCTTGGTGGTGGGATTTACTATGGGCCCTGTTCTGCTTCATACAAATGTCTATTTGCAAGGATAAAAGGGTAAGAGAACAACACATTTCTAATCTAGTTTTAAAAGAAATTGGAATAATCCCAAGGTAGCTGCAGTAGTGAAGGAGAAGCAAAGGTATCTCCTAGTTCTATCTGAGCCAGACCCCAGAGAGGGCTGTAGGAACCACAGACTCGTATTGTACCACCTGTAGGTGCTTTCTGTCACTAGATAAGGATGCTGTTAGCCAGGATACAATCTCACAAGGCCATATGGTCTGTTTTGGCCAACTCCAGGCTGTTAAGCCCTCTTCCTGCCCCACATGGGTGTCCTCAACCCAACCACTCCTGAGAGGTTACTGCATGCTGGAGCACAGGATTCAGGTGACCAACTGAATGTCTCCAAAGATGTGACTTCCTGCATAGGAGTCGGCACCTTCATCCATACATGGAAGCTGGTTTTCATGGTGCTGCCTAGGGATGTGGTGGAACCTGCCATGGCTATCACACTACCTGTCATCAAGCCAGTGCAAGCAGATGTGTCAGGAGGGTTGTTGACCCAGTACCAAGGTTTTGCAGCTTCCAGGTAATATTGGCTGCAGCTTGACTGTCTCCAGCCATTGTTGTGCCTACTTTCTTGAGGGAGGAACAAAATCTCCAGCTTCTTTTCCTCTCCCTGACAGTCAATTCAAACTACTCCCACAGGTGTGATAAATCAAGCCCAGTCCAGGCCAGCAGCCCCCTCTGGCTTTGGGACTCCATGAGCAAGCAAGAGCTCTCTGGGGGCTGGGTGTGGAGGGAGATCTGGGCTGTGATAAATGTGAAACCTTGTTGGATGGCTCAATCTGCCTCACTTATACTGGGGTGAATTCAGACTAGCTCCACTCATGTTCCAGCTTCAGGACCACTAAGTGATACAGCACGTAGATGTTTGGAGTTTTATCATAGAATCATAGAATGGGTCAGGCATGTCAAGGGCTGGCAATCTCCATCCTGTGTTCATCCTGAAGCCAGGCTCTCCTCCAGACCATAATCCGACTCCTTAAAGCATCTCTCCAGCCTAACACCAGAATTCTTCAGCTGCTGTTGAACCAATCAAGTAGCTGAATCTCATCAACAGCGTTTTCTGTCCCAGAGCTATCTTCACTTTAGTTAACAACAGTGATTAATCACTATCACAATTGGTGCATCCCAAGAGATGTCTCTGGCTTTTAATTATTCTCATGCTTACAGAAGGGTAAACTGAGCCCTGAGCCTGAAAAATGGCTTATCCAGAAAGCCAGCTGGGGCGTCACTGGGAAAAGTGGAAAAGGGTGTGGGTCCACTGCAGCCTCCAGCTTTCATCTACTTTCAGTACTTTCTGTAGGACCTTCTAATGCTTCAAGGGGTTGTCTAAGAAAGATGAGGACAAACTTTTTAGCAGGGCTTTTTGCAATAGGACAAGAAGTGACAGTTTCAAAATAAAAGAGGAGAGATTCAGACTATATACAAGGAAGAAAGTGGTTTTTTTTTACACTGAGGGTGGTGAGACACTGGCCCAGGTTGCCCAGAGAGATGGTAGTCACCCCATCTTGGAAACATTCAGGGTCAGGTTGGACGAGGCTCTGAGAAACCAGATCTAGCTGAAGATGTCCCTGCTCACTGTAGGGGAGCTGGAACTAGATGGCCTTCAAAGGTCCCCTTAAACCCAAACCATTCTATGATTTTATGAATATATGATTCTATGATAGTGAAAGAAAAGTATTTATTTTGCCCAGACTGCTTGATACTCTCCGTTTGGTTATCAGCCATGAAGGAGAGGTATCTGGGAAGAGGGAAGAGGCAATAAAAAACAAGCTGCAAATTACAATAAACAGCGAACATCCCAAACTGTAGCCTGAAGCATAAAAGTTGAAGTACTTCAGTTTGGAAACTTTTCATTTTGATTCTCTAAACCCATAAATAGGGAATACAGTACCAGAAGAAAAACAGTACACTAATGTTGTAAAGCTTAACAAATTAATGAGTCACACTGAAATGTTAATGACAAAGCTGCGAGTTTGCATTTTGATTATATGTCACTCCAACACATTTGCATCAAATCCATAATTGTGTGATGTGCTCTCTCTCAAAACACACATACCTTTAAAACAAAACAGAGTATCAACATGTTTTCACCAGACCTACTTACATCACAGAAATATTAAACAAACATTTCCTTTCTCACCCTAAATATTGAACAGTGTATGTAGTAGCAAAGATTATTTCACTTTAATGAATTTTATTATGTTTTTAATAAGGAGGGGAAAGTGCAGCTACATCACTGGCCTTAATTTGCAGAACTGATGCTTCCACTAAGCAAAGTGAACCACTTTCATTATCTCATTTCCAAGTAGGGAAACTGAGGCAAAAATCACAAACTTTCTTTCCCTGATGCCATTGAGTAGCAGGATCAATCAAAGCCCACAGCAGCAGTGTCCTGCTGTAACCACTAAGTAGCAGCCTTCATTTAACACAGACCATTATCATTTTGCAAAGGCTACTGATGAAAAAGACCTGCTGACTCCTTTTGTTCCCTGTAAGCACAGACTTTTTCCATCCCATGTGCTGTAGATGAAAGTGCTTTATACAAACCCTACATTAAAATAAACCAAAAATGAGGATATCTCTCATTCCCTTTGGGGGAAACAATTCTGTAGCTGAACAGATTGTAGCAGTAGGAAATATTTCCTGATGTCCAGCCCCTGTCACAGCTTCTAGAATCTGTTGATATATTATTACTAGAAAGGAAAATAAATATAGGTATTAATGCCAGCAGACACTGTCTTCTACTAATAGATGCTGAAGTAATATATTCTCCTAATTTTTAGCTTTTATTAGTCTTTTTGCAAAGGGTTACAAGACCCTTATGCATCCATTAGCCTGTCAGCCATGTGAAATTAATGTGGAGCAATTTTCATAAGCATTACTCAGAACTAATAATAATTAAGCATTATTTTCTGCTCAGATAACACAGAAAATAAAGTCTGACTTTTATGCCAAGACGGGTTTGCATTAGCTTAAGGTAGATGAATTAATTCTCATTTACAAGGCTTCTCCACCAGCTAGCCAGAAAATATTAAGGTAATTAAAACCCATTTGTGAGGTTCTGTCCCATTGCACATTCACTGAGTTTTATCACTGCTGCAAATTACAGGTGCTTTTACGTGGTTGCAAAGGTGGGACATGAAGGAGACCTTGCTGCTGGGTTCCTTCTCCACTACTTCTAAGAAAAGCAACCTTTTGTGAAGACCAGAATGCATTTTGCAATGCACTTCGTTGTTGGAGAAGCAAAGAACTCGCAATGCACTTCGTTGTTGGAGAAGCAAAGAAGAACTGCACATTGCATGAAGGACCAGTCTGGTCCCAGCTTAGGGTGGGATGTGGACCTCTCAGCAACAAATGTGTAAGGCCCCTAACAGAGAAAAAGAAAATGCCATTTGTTTTTGATTTACCATTTACTTGCAAGGGATTAATTTTGGCTAATTACAAAGCCAAGGGACAGCATTTTATGGATAGCTCAGAAACTTCTCTTCAGCCAGTCAGATTTTTCTTTATTGCCTTTAATAACCAAAACCCATAATTCGCAATCCAGGTAAATAAAACTGATCAGTTGTATGATGCTACACTTTCCAACACTGCCCAAAAGATTTCTTGTCTGTTATCTAGCTTAAGGACACACTGAATTTGAATGTAGTTGAATCTCAGCAGCTTGACATACCACTTGAGTAGCTGCTGTGGTCTCTGAAGATGCTCAGCTTGGGCCAGCTGCAGGATGGAAGATAGATTAGTTCAGCTAGTAACTAGCTGTAAAACACACTAACCCAGACAAAAGACAGCTAAGACAACATCTAACTGAATAAACTGAGACCTTTTTTAGGCTTTCAGCTTTCTAACAGGAACAGCTCCTTAAGAGGCCATATCTTCACTTTGTGTGTGATCTTAGCAAACAACTGGGCTTGATGTGACCCACCAGTGTGGAAAATCTGTGTTCTTCAGAGGATTGTGGCTTCTCTGTGTCCTGGCTCTCGCATTTCATCTCTCCAGCCTCTTCATCACTTCCCTGTCTCACTGTGGCATTTCACATTGGTGTCTATGAGATGGAGCAGGTTGACCTGAAGGAGGACTATATGGGTCAGCAACAAAATAAGAATGAGATGGTAGTTCTGACTTTTATTATGTTTTGAAAACTCTTCTCTAGAGTAATCTCAGTGCTATTAAAGAGATAAATAAAAGGAGAGGATACTCAAGAAACACCAGCTGTGTCTCAGCCCTGGAAACCACTTTCACTTTCACTGTCACTCTCACTGTGACTTCTGAACGTTTATCCACACCTTCAACGAAGAAAGGTTTCCCTGTTGTGGCTGTCTGATTCTCAATCCAGCCCACATAGTGGTAAACAGACATTAAGATATCAAGGTTTGGCTTTTCTGCACAATCTTCTGCCCAGCTGACAATGCCGACCTGAAACCACTTCATGGTGTTCCAGTAGCTGCAAACCAGGGGTCCCCCATTGTCCACCTACGGCAAAAGAAGGATATTACAGCAGGATCAAACCTCAGGTCTCTCATAGCAGCTGCATCTCATAGGAAGATTGGGAAAAACAAACTCTATCCAAATTCATGAGGATGTGGGGGAACAGGGAAAGTTTGGACTCAAAATTTCATAGCTCAGCCCCGAGATGGAGAATAAACAGATATAGAAGGGAAGAGGAGAGCATTGAATTATAGAATGCCAGGTTGGAAGGGATTTCAAGGATCATGTGGTCCAACCTTTCTAAGCAGGAAAATATTTAAGATGAGATGATTCAGCACATTGTCAAGCTGAGTCTTAAAGGTGTCTAGCATTGGAGAATCCACTACTTCCCTGGGGAGATTACTCCAATGTCTGACTGTTCTCAATAGTGAAAAAATTTCTTCTGACGTCCTAGGAGTAACTTGTACCCATCACCCTCATCTTTTCCATGTGACTCGTTGTGAAAAGGGAGTCTCCATCTCCTTGGTAACCACCTTTAAAGTACTGGAACGTGGCAATAAAGCCTCCTCTAAGCTTTCTTTTCTCAAAGCTGGACAAACCTAGTTCTCACAGCCTTTCCTTGTATGGCAGGTTTCCCAGTCCTCTGATTATCTTTGTGGCCCTTCTCCGGACCCTCTCTAGCCTGTCTGCATCTTTGAATATTAGGGACCAGAACAGAACACAGAGAGATCAGTCACAAGCTCTGGCTCGGTGCAGTGCCCTGTCCTTCTCAGCCTTTTCCATATGCTCCCTTGGCCCCAGCAGGATACCTGACTCCTGCCCCCAAGAGGCAGCACCCAGGAGTGAAAAGGGACATTTGCCATGACTGCTCATCCAGTCCTCAACTTCTCTGGTGCATGTAGGTGCTGGGTACTGGCCACTGTTCATTTTGGAGGCCAGCATCATGAAACTGCACAAGAGATGAATACTACACTTGACAAATCCTTCTTGCAACCACACTAATTTCACTGAAATCTTGCCTGCGAGGGGGAGGACAACCTTCACTACTCCCTGTGCATGCAAGTCTTCAAATGCATGTTGCCAACACCCTGCAATGTTCTTCTGTTGGCTGCTGTAGGTTGAACACAAGAGCATGTCCAGTCACCCATATATGACTCTTGTGTGCAATCTGAACAAAAACCAAAGAAGAAACCAGCACAAAATGGACCCAGCCAGGTACAACACTTTTCTGATGGTTTATGTGGATAGAATCCCAGACTGATTTGGGTTGAAAGGGACCTTAAAGATCATCTAGTCCCAACCCCTCTGCCTTGGGCAGAGACACCTCCCACTAGACCAGTTTGCTCCAAGCCCCACCCAACCTGGCCTTCAACACTGCTCTAAGTAAAACAGTTTCCTTTCACAGTGGGTTTGACTCTTTTTTCTACCCTATGTCCAGTATTTCCTGTGGCAAATAAGAAATTCAATATAAGCCCACTTCCCAAGACAGCCAGCTTTCCTGGGAAATGTTGTCCTTCCCTCTTTGTACACTGCTTTGAGAAATACCTTTGTCATTAATGGATGGACCCACTTCCACCAGCAGCTCCCCTGAGCTAACACACATGAATTTATGAGTAAGGAAGTGGCTTAGTCCCCTGCTAAAATTTATGCCAGAATTCCTACTCATTTCATTAGATGGAGAGTGCAGGTCCATAATATGTTTCTCTTTTTACATTTTTGGTTCAACATGCATACAGGAGGGAAAAATTGAGATAAACAGAGAGCAAAGGCTGCTTCAGCATTAATAAAATCACAGAATCATTCAGGCTGGAAAAGACCTTTGAGCTCATCGAGTCCAACCATAAATTTGAGACTGTTTGCCCTGAAATGGTGTCACTGTAGCTACGTGTCTGCATCTCAGCCAGTGCTGCTGGACTCTCTTCAGACTCAGGATCTAAAGATGTTTCCCAACCCTGTTTCAGCCAAGAACTGAGTGACCTTGCAGTGACCTTGGATCTATGAGTTATCAGGCTCCTCGGCAAAGACATCCTGTTTGAGTGACTGAGCATCTCCCAGGCTGTGCGCACAACTACATTACTGGGAGTTTTACTGCTAATTCCCTCAGGGCAGGAACAGGCCAAATGTATTATCCTGGTAGGGAAAAGAAGGCACTTCAAGCCTCCCACACACAGATAAGGGAGGAAGCCGAGCGCGTGGGAGCCGCTCACAAGCCAGTGACGCAGCAGGAGCTGATGATCCTTCTCTGCGACATCTCGGGATGTGCCGTGTCGGCTTCTCCCAGCGGAGGAGATTTTTAACACTGCAAGACTCCCTGCACACCACAGGGGCAGACTGGTTTCAGAGTCCCCAATTTGGAGGCTGCTCACACTTGTGATGGACCTTGCATGGTCACAGTCACAGAGTGGCCAGGGTTAGAAGGGACCTCTGAAGACCATCTACTCCTGCTAGAGGAGGACCACTTACAGCAGATCACACAGGAATGTGTCCAGAGAGGCTTGGAATGTCTCCAGAGAAGGCAACTCCCCAACCTCTCTGGGAAGCTGTTCCAGTGCTCTGTTACCCTCACAGTAAAAGAGTTTTTCCTTATGTTTAACTTGAACCTTCTATGCTCCAGCCTGTACCCACTGCCCCTTCTCCTGTCATCAGACACTGCTGAAAAAGGATGGGTTGCATCCTCCTGACATGTGTCCTTTACATATTTACAAGTACTGATGAGATCCCCCCTCAGTCTCCTCTTCTCCAGGCTAAACAGCCCCAGCTCTCTCAGCCTTTCCTCACAGGACAGATGCTCCAGTCAACAATCTTTGTGGCCCTGTGCCAGACTCTTTCCAGTAGTTCCTTATCCTTCATGAATGGGGAAGCCCAGAATTGGATGCAGTATTCCAGATGTGGCCTCATCAGGGCAGAATAGAGGGGGAGGATAACATCCTTTGATCTACTGGTCACACTCTTCCTAATGCACCCCAGGACCTTCTTGGTCACAAGGGCACATTGCTGGCTCATGGTGAGCCTGTTGTCCACCAGGACCCTGAGATCCTCTTCCCCAGAGCTGCTCTTCAGCAGGTGAACTCCCAGCCTGTACTGATATATGGGCACCTAAATACCAGTTAATTCCTGATGGCTTGTGACTATCCTTGGGAAGAACATTCTTATCTTATAGCTGAGAAAATCATAGCAGAAGAGGGATGTGATTTTCACAAAGCAATAGCAGAGCCAGGAACCCCTATTTAAATCATACATCACAGGTTTTACTTTCAAATCAGATCTGCTTTTCCCTTTTTGCCTCTTTAATCATGCTCATTCTGTTCTTGGCCCGGTCAGTGCAGAAAGGGAGAGCTGTCTGCAGGGCTGAGAAAAATTATTTAAAACTTGGGCAGGGAGGGAATTTGGCACTGCTTTGAGAACTCAGGCAGCAGCTACAAATCCATTTCTCTAATCCAGGAGCCTTGAGACTCAAATCCTCCTTCAGGTCCCTTTCCATATGGGCTGAACTGGTCTGCTTCACGGGTGTAGCTTCTAACATGCCATTTCTCTTAACTTCAGATATTCAGCTTTGAAGTTTTATCCCAAAGCGGGCTAAATTGTCCTCACCATGTGATCTCACTCACATAATTATAGCAGCAGCCCAGATGAATCAGTAGCCTGGTTTTTACAGGGCTAAAGGCAGAGAAAATAAACTCAGTTCTTGGGCACTTTTAAAAATCCCTGTTGCCACCTTAAGTTCTTAAAAATGTTGGCCCAAGTTTTCCTTCCTTGTGAAGAAGAGTATGTGGGAGGAACATGTTTGAGCACTGGTACAATTATCTCAGCTCTGTGATGTTTCCAGTAGCACTAATTCAATGAATGCTCAGGTTAACAACTCCAATGATCAAATAACTCATTAAATGCTGCTTTCAACTTTCTCCTGTATCCTGGTGGTGAAATACTTCTGGTCAGCACACACTAGATACCTGCTCCTGCTCTTCAGTCTGAGTACAGAGTTTCTGGATAGCAAAAAACCTAAAAATAGCATTTTTGCATCTGTTGCATGTTTCTTGTCAACTAGAAGATGAGTGAAAAGCAACCACATTAAACCAGATCTGGTGCAATTGAATTCATGCCTTCCACAACTGCACGTTAATCCTCCCATTAGGAGAGGTGAGAGCAATGAGATATTTGCTGCTAAATAGTTCTGGCTTGTATAAAAGCTGTCACTGACTAACAAGGCACTTTTTTCACTGAAGCTGATCAAAAGTTTTATCCTTTTCACCGCAGCCAAAGCCTTTTTGTGAACATGGGAGCCTTTCCACTGAACTTAGTGGGCTTTGGATCAAGAGTGTAATCATTTTCCTTTTGTATTTGTATTCCTGTCTGCAGCATAGTAATTGATCAGAACAAACACGGTTCAGCTACATAAATCTTCCTAGGCGGGAGAAGCTCTGGGGGAGGAAGAATCACCCATTTGATACTCATTAGGTGGATACACAACCCTTACAAGTCACTGCTGGTTTCATATTCCTGTTGGTGAGCTCTGTGTAAATTGGAGAGAATCAGCATGTGAATAACAACACTGGCAGTTCGAGCTGCCCTGGCTGCAGGAAGTAATGTCTTTGGCAAACAGATTACTTCTTCAGTTATTTCACCCAGAACAAGCCAACTTCAGGAAAAGATGGAAGCAAGGAAGTTATGGCTATTTTCAGCATGTAGCTATTGAAATAAACCAAGTAACACAGGGCACCTCGATCCCTTTGAGATCCCTTCTGGTGAGAGCTTTCAGCTACTCTGTCCCTCCATCCCCTTGATGGAAAATGGGAGAACAAGACCCCTCTACTCCATCCACACAGATGTCAGGAGGGTCCATCAGCAACAATGGACTTAAAAGGCAGCGATACTGCATCTGGCCACAAACCCATGTGGCTCAGACTCCTGTCTCTGACAGTCATCTGTAGCAAGTGCTTAGGGAAGAAGAACGAGAAACAGGGCAAGTATTTACAGAGTTGTATTTACATCACAGTAGTTAATAGCCTTAGAGAGATCTTCATCCAGGAAGTTATCTAATTGCTTTT